AGCAAAAACCCTTGGTCCTTCCTATTATTGCTTATACTCTCTCTTCAACAAAATTAGAAATAAGGGCAAAATAGTTTCTGCCGGGTAGTGAGGGGTAAGGAGGAGAGAGGGAGGGGGCGGAGGGAAGGGGGGTAGAAATGACCCAAACATTTTATGCACATATGAGTAAAATAAAAATTTTTTTTAAAAAAGTGATTGTGTTTCTATAGCGTACTTATAGAATGCACATCCCTCCTTAAACCTACTCAGTTTATCTCAAGGCAGGGGAAAAAAATCTGCATTTTAGTAAGCTTCATGGGTAATTGTTATGAAGTAGTCCATTGGCTACATTTAAAAAAATACTGTCCCAGAATCAAATTGCTGTTGAGGCTGTTAATTTATTTGAGGCCATCTTGATACACAAGCTGTCTGTGAGACGGGAAGGAAGCACAACTGACAACACTTTTCTAAGTGGAGACAGAAATAAAAGGAAGAAGAAAAAGAAGGAAGTACATGTGTTCACAGAAAATGGCAAATACATAAAATGAAGTTACCTGAGAAACTAGAAGCCCAAGAAGATACAGTTTCAGTTGTGCAGTCTCACTGCTAACTAAACAAAGGGAAATCAAATTTGGTCATGATGTTTTCCTTGGACTATCATCAAAAAGCATCTTTTCCTAAGAAAATCCTGGTTTCTAAATAACCAAACCAAGGGACCATGCAGCCGTAGGAAAGAGATCTCAGGAGGGAAATGCAAGGACCAAGACTGCCTGGCTTCTTCGGGGACTGACTTTGATGTCTTCATTGTCCTTCAATTAGTCCTTTAATAAATATTTTGAGTTTAAGAGAAATAAGTTCTTGATTGCACTCTTAGGCGAATATAAAAGAGGAAAAAACTTAAGTCTAAACTACAAAGATTAAAAACACATTTGTAAGATAAAGGATGTAATAACCAAAAGACTTCCAGCATACTCGTAACCGGTACAGTTTGGCACTTGGTTATGTCCTAGTTCTAATTTAATTCCTAGCATGTTTTCATTTCAGTTGTGATTTATGATGTATATTGTATATGATGTTTATTGCGATGCTGAGTTTCTAAAACATACATTGCTAAGACATTTTATGATTATAATTCATATTTTGTTTTTAGTTATAGCAAATAAAATTTCAGTATATTTCATCAGTTGTCTTTATTTTCTAATTGTCAGTATTGCCTCTAAATTAACTTTGGCTGAGCTAAATCAAATACTTTACCGGTGTGAATCAGAAGAACAGGAAGACGGTGGAGGTTGCTATGACATACCAAACTGGTCATCCCTGAAGTATGCAGGTCTTCAAGGTAAGAAAGTGCAAGGATGGTGAGCTTTTCATTTTTCTGTTAGGATCCTAGACTGTCTTCTTTATGAAAGTAAGATTTAGCTTGGAATGAGACGCCTGGGTTCAAATTAGGACTGTCCTGCTTAGTCATCGATTGACCTTTTGCAAGTAACAGAACACCTCTGTACCCCCAATTTCTATGTCAAAAAATGCAAATAATAGTGAATAATTCAGAAGACTGTGAAGATTAAATGAGACCATTCACTTAAAACACTAAGTGGGTTTAGGTTATAAATATGATACATTCTTCTTCCTTTTTCATCTAATTGGAAATTTTTTGTTGCATGTTTGTTTCATCCTATAAAGAGAATGTGTAGCAAAATATTATGTAGTTAAAGTAGTTGTGAGATAAGTTAAAGGAACTGAATCTTTAACTATCAGTTTACTCCATCTGCTTGGTAATATTTTCTTAGACTTTTATCTAAGAATGTTGGTTTAGCACACCTGTATTTCTGGCTCCCATATGTTTTTCAGTTTACATCCTTCTCTTTGACTCCTTATTTCTTGATTTTTTTTTCTCTTTACTGAGGTTTGAACTCAGGTCCTCAGGTCTGCTAGGCAGGTGTACTACCACTTGAGCCACTCAGTGATCTTCTTAACCTGAACCTCTCACGTAGCTGGGATTACAAACATGCACCATCAGGCCTGCCTTGTTTGTGGAGATGTTTGTTGAGATGGGGTCTCACTAACTTTTTGCCCATGCCTTAAACTATGATCCTCTAGATCTCTGCCTCCCAATGTGAGGTCTTTTTCTGGCTTTTGCCTATCTTAAAGTTAAGTGGTTCTTTACTAATTCTCTTTATACTTCTCATGAAGTGATTCTTCTTATCCTTTCTAAATATAATTGTCTTCATCTGATTTGGTTTTTACTGTCAGATCTGTTTTCTGAAACACTGTTTCCATGTCATTCCATGATTCAACAGTGGTACCAATGTTTACTAAGCAGTATTGTCTTCTCTGAAAGTGCTATAACATAGGTAGAATTTTATTTTATACTGTCTTCTTGTCCAGCTTTTTTATATTTTACGGTTGATGTTAAATTAAAACCCTTGAGGGAAAAACTGTATGTTAAATTTATTTTTTAAATTTCTTAAAACATGCCACATAGTAAAATTTATTAAATTCTAATTAAATGAATTTAGTTTAAAATGAAGTTAGTGAAGCCAAAATAACATTTCTGCAAGTAGACATGTTTGTCTTACTGATTGATGAAAGAAGTATAATTGTTCTGTCATTTCAATAGCAGGATCTACCATGTGTGCATAGGAATCCCAATGCTTCTATCTGAGAACTGTGCATAATAAACACTCCTGATACTGTGCTTCCATACTCTGTTCAGTTCCAAGGATCTCCTGTTACACTCCAAAGATTCCTTCTACGGCAGGCTTTGTCCTCATTGTCACTGTAAATGTTCTTACTCTCTCCGAAACAAGTTCTGTGATTTCCTTCAATTTGCCTGAATATTAATGAATGCACCACTTTTTAGCATAAAAGCACACAGGCTTATCAGTTTTCTTCTCATTGATACCTGAGAGCAAAGAATTCATGCCAGTTGCCTTTGAACGTTATAACATTAAAGTAAAAAGAGAAGTTCTGACGCTTGGGAAGCTGCAGAAGTCCCTCAGTGTGCCTTGTGTCCTGGGTCATCCCGACTGCTGTATGGATCTCCAACCACGCCAAGCGCCACTGTCAGCGAGGCAGCACTCTGCTGCCTCTCTATTAAATCCTTAGACACTGGCCTCACCTCAGCTGTTGGAACATTTTGACTCTGCCAGTAATGCAGAAATGTCTTATTTTCAGGATTAATGTCTGTGTTGGCAGAAATAAGACCAAGGAATGACTTGGGGCATCCTTTTTGTGATAATTTGAGATCTGGAGATTGGATGATTGACTATGTCAGTGGCCGCCTTATTTCACGATCAGGAAATATTGCTGAAGTAAGTAGAGCTATGTTCTAGTGTTAAAAAAATCAAGAGAATTATATAATTGAGAATTAATTATAATTAAAAATTATATTACCACGTTCTATATAATATTTACATGTTTTCTTAAACCATTTTCCTTCCTTTCAGTACTGATAAATAGAACTCTGGTTAATGGAACTACTGGACAGCAAAGTTGCATGTTTAAATTTACCTGCTAAAATATTCCTAGCTTGTAAACACATCAAATTACCTTTTACATTATTTTTATCCTAGGTTGGTAGATGGCTGCAGGCTATGTTCTTCTACCTGAAGCAGATCCCACGATATCTTATCCCCTGCTACTTTGATGCTATTTTAATTGGTGCATACACCACTCTTCTGGATGTGGCGTGGAAGCAGATGTCCAGGTATATCCAGCAGACCTTGAGTGGATAGGCATGTTTGTGTGGAAACTGCAGTCGCTTCACACAAGCTCTTAAAAGACCAGAATGTGGGGGCGGGGTGAGTGGTAAGGAAGAGGGTGGGGGCAGGGGGGAGAAATGACCCAAGCCTTGTATGCACATATGAATAATAAAAGAAAAAAAAAAAAAAAGACCAGAATGTGAGGAATTATCATAGACTCATAACTGAAAAAATCCTTTACCTGGAAATTTATTAACATCCTTTACTCTGTAACATACAAAAACAAACTCAGATATTAAAAATCTGTTCAAGGACTGGTGGAGTGGCTCTAAGTGGTAGAATGCCTGCCTAGCAAGCATGAGGCCTGGAGTTCAACACCAGTACTGCCCCCCCTCCCCAAAATCTAGTCTATAAAGCCAATAAAACACATTTTGGGGAAATTAAATTATTTTATGTTATTTGTTAATACAGTTTTTACAACATACATATATACATACATACATAGGTTTCTAATTTTTCATCAACTAAAAGAAAAAAGTATTCTGCTATCATGAGTGAAATTTGCCTTTAGTAATGAAATTCCCTAAAATAAAACCACAAACTGAAATGTACCCATGGGAGCCACCAAGTTGATTTGGGCATTGTTCAGAAAAAAACAAAACTTCAACCTGTCATTTGTTTTACAGTGTCCATGGACTTACAGCTACTCAAATAAAGAGCGACACAGAGGCAGTTTTGAAATGTAACAAATTAAGTATTTTTGAACTATACAGTGGCACACATTTGTATAGAAAAATCACTTGATGGGACAGAAAAAGCAAAGTAGAGTGCTAAAAAGTACAGTAAGTCTTTAACCTCATCCATTTTGTTACAGCTTTGTTCAGAACGGTTCAACCTTTGTGAAACACCTCTCGCTGGGTTCAGTCCAGATGTGTGGAGTGGGAAAGTTTCCTTCTCTGCCACTGCTGTCCCCCTCCCTCCTGGATGTGCCATGCAGGCTAAATGAGATCACAAAGGAGAAAGAACAGTGCTGTGTTTCTGTAGCTGCAGGTGAGGAGTTCTGCAGAGGTTAAAATGAGGGTGCCAGTAGTATTCAAAGCTTAAGTGGTAGAGTGCCAAACCCTACTACCACCACCACCACCAAAAAAAAAAGAATGGTATGCAAAAAGTAAAACCTATGGAAAATGATTTTTTTAAGTTCATGATGTTATCCAAGTCTTTTATATTATTTCTTAGTAAAATGTCATAGATGCTCATTTGTAAAAAATGATATCCATACCTTTTTTTGTTGTGGTAGGGAATCGACCTTAGGGCCTCATGCATGCTAGGCAAACACTAAACCAATGAGCTACATTCCACACTTATTTTAATTATAACTGTGCATCATACATTTATGTGTGTTTTTCATTGTGGCTTATTCATCCTTTTTCTGCACGTGTCTTGCTGACATTTTGAATTTTTTAAATCAAATTTAGTTTACTATTCTTTTTCCTATATTTCTTCCCCGGCTTTTAAAAATAAACTCAACCTTGTACTTATCAAGAGATCATATATATACAAGTTATAAAACACAAGATATACGTTAAATAATTTTCTGTTATGTGCCTAATTGCTGTCACATTCTTCAACCATATTTATTAGCATCCTTTCCTGCAAGTGGATTTAAACCTGGATCAAGTAACACATCCAAGTAAACAAAATAGACTAATGGACAGACTTCTTTCAATACATGTCCAGCATATTTCTAGGAAGTACTTAGTACTTGAAGCCACTGACGTTTAGAATGATCCACACTAAACTGAAAGATATAAAATTGTAGGAAGAAAGCAGTGTCTATAATCTTATCTACTGGCTCCCTCTGTTAAATTTAAATTTCTTTAAATTTGCATCTGCTCAGCTCAGATGAAAATACTTTGTGATACCTAACAATTGAAATAGAAATACCATTTCATTTAGAATGATCATAAAAATTCATTCACCTCTGCTTTAGGGCTGGGGATGTAGCTCAGTGGTAGAGCAGTTACCTAGTATGCCTGAAGCCCTAGGTTCAATCCCCAGCACCACAAAAGTAAAAATAAAAAAAAGAGGAATTAAGTTAAAAAACAACTCTTTTTAAAATCTATAATTGTGTTTCAGATTTTTACTTCACAGGTATCTAAGCAGATGTTCATGAAATTGAACTAGGCCAGTATGGAAAAAACACTGACATAATTTTTTTTTTTTTGTCATGTTGGTGATTGAACTCAGGGCCTCACAAAAAATTCAGGTTTTAAAGCTGACCTTATAAAAGCCTATTAAAGATAATAAAATAATAATCTCAACATGGTTGATTATATACTTTTACTATTAAATACTCCTAATATGGACTTATTTATAATTACATACTTAAATAAGTTATGGTACCTGATATACTTATATATCAGGTACAATCAATAAAAACATATACAAGTTCTGATATTTGCTTCTAGCATCTTGGAGCGTTTTGCTAATCTATGCTGACAAAAAAAATAAGACAGTCAGACTTTGCAGGTATTTTTGAGGGGGTTCATTTTGATTGTTTTTTGTTGTTGTTGCTCTTGTTTTTAAGTTTTAAAAAAGATTTAGTATAGCAAGATAAAGTAGGGAGAAATGAGGGGGAAGGGAGAAACAGTTCCTGCTCCCCAGGCAAGAAATGGGAGTAATGACTCCAAGAGAGTGGTTTTAAAATGGCTAGGTAATAGTGCTGCAAAAAATTAAAATTCTTAATTTATGTTAAAGTCACCAGAAAGTCTGTGTGACACAAAGTGGTATGTGTTAGCTGCTGTCACTGTCACCATCATCAAAGTTTTCGGCTATCCAGACACCTGATCTTTGCATTAAAGTCTTGCTTTTGCTGTACTTCACCTGTCTCTGAGTCTGAACACTGAGAGCAGTTTCAACAGGCATTTTCTCCCTAGTGTCCCCCACTTCCTTGTTGGATGACAGCCTTTCCTGAGTGTAGCCTAAGCTTTATTATTTCCTATTGGGTTATTTTAAAATATATCTCTCTTGGGATTGGTCCAATTTTAGAAGCAGACTTAAGTCTCTACCTCCCTTTGTCTCTTTGTGGCAGGAAGGCCTCCCTGTGATCTGTGCTTTCTGGCACATACATAGTTTTTACCCATTCTCTCATCTCATAGTAATTTGCTCCTCCCAGTTAAAGTTCCTTTGTCAGTTGGCCCTCCTCCAACATCCTCAAGCTGATACATTTGTAGCCAGTTATTATCTACTCAGGGTTAAATGCCTTGCCTTGAAAATGGACCACCAATGACTTTATTTCTAATAAAGTTTGAACTCAATGCCTTGAGCTTGCTAGACAGGCTCTCTAGAGCCACCTGATCCTCACCCCAACCCTCTGGTACTGGTTCTTGGGTGGAGGTATAGAGCAATGGTCAAGCTTGCTTACCATGGGTTCTTCATTTTCTTTGGGTTACAGATACCTTTAAGAATCTGATAAGACTATAGAACTTTATTCCACAAAAGTGGATGTAAGTACAGACAGTATTTTGCTTACAATTTTAGAATGTTTGCTAACATTCTAACCCTCAGGGTTAGAGTGAGAGTGTATGTAGTAATAGAGTTCATGGTTTGCTTGGATTACTCTGATTAACATTACTTTGTCATCTTTTCTACTAGGCTTACCTCATTTTTCTTCCGGTCTTTTCCGCTGCTGGGGAAGGGATACTTTCATTGCACTTAGAGGTATACTGCTGGTTACTGGACGCTACTTAGAGGCCAGGTAAGAGAATGTCTGAAAAGATGCCGTGCAGTTTATGTCTCAGTGTTTTCTACATGCTCTCCAAACTTCCCTGCACATCCATCTGTTCTCAACATATGAGACGTATATTTTCCTTAGAGTTACTTTACTTCTCATGTAGTCAGTCATTTACTAGGATCATAAAGTTTCAAAGGAGGAAAAATCTTGGAAGTTACTAAATTGTAGTCCTTCATATTGCAGGCCAAGTTATCTTCAGCATTTTCAAGTTTATTTTAGAAAACAAAATTGTAATCATTTTATACCTTTATAATGAATCATTACTGGCTCTTTGAGTCTTATGGAAAGAATTATATCAAGTTTTCCTCTATTTATTGTAGGCCTTGCAGTGTTTATGAGATTTTCTTACATTGCAGTAATATAAATGATTTCTTTTGAGGGGTGTAGATTAAGGTTTGAACTCAGGGCTTAACACTTGCAAAGTGGTCACTCTACTGCTTAGCCACACCTCTAGTCCATTTTGCTCTGGTTATTTTGGAGCTGGGGTCTCTTGAACTACTTTCCCAGACTGGCCTTGAACTACAGTTCTCCCAGTCTCAGCCTCCCAGGTAGCTAGGATTACAAGTGTGAGCCACCAGTGCCCAGAAGTATAAATGAATTTATTGGGGACTGAAGAGAAAGTTCTACAGCAGGGCCACTCGAAGTGTGTTCCACAAATCAGTATTGTCTCCATCATCTGAGAACTTGTTGGAAGTGTGAATTCTCCACCCCTGAACCAGACTCCTAAAAGCAAACCTGGAGACGGGGTGGGTGTGCTTGGTAAGCAGAAACTGTTTGCACTACACAACAAGGGGATTGGACTTTGAGCACATGATAAAAGCGAGAGCACACAAGGGAGGGATGAGGATAGGTAAGACACCTAAAAAATTAGCTAGCA